GGGCTCTGTGCTGACAGCTCAGAGCCTGGAGCCTGTTTCAGATTCTGTGTCACTCTCTCTCTGCCCCTTCCCCGCTCATGCTCTGTCTCTCTTTGTCTGTCAAAAATGAATAAGTATTTATAAATAAATACATAAATAAACAAAAGAGTCCTTTTTTTTACACAGCAATGTGAATGTACAGTAAAGCCTTGATTTGCAAGCATAATTCATTCTGGTAATATGTTTGTAATCCAAAGCACTGTATATCAAAGTGAATTTCAAGAACCACTGGCTCAGTTGTGATCATGTGACATTTGGCGTCATCTACTACTCATACTGCAAGACATCTATCATTTTTCAAGTTAAAAATCTATTAGAAATATTTGCTTGCCTTGTGGAACACTTGCGGAACAAGTTACTTGCAATCCAAGGTTTCACTGTACAGAACATCACATATTTGTACATGTAAAACTGGCTAAAATAATAAATTTCATTTTACGTATGTTTCATCACAAGAAAAAAACTTTTTAATGAGTTCTATCTCTGGTTGACAGTATGGAAGATAGTCCAGAGAAAAAAAACAGTAATTCTTTTTTTTAATAATGTTTATTTATTTTTGAGACAGAAAGAGACAGAGCATGAGCAGGGGAGGGGCAAAGACAGAGGGAGACACAGAATCCAAAGCAAGCTCACAGAGCCCAACGTGGGGTTTGAACTCGTCAACCACTAGATCATGATCTGAGCCGAAGTCGGACACTCAACCAACTGAGCCACCCAGGCGCCCCAACAGTAATTTTCTTTTTAATGTTTATTTATTTTTTTAGAGAGAGAAAGAGAGAAGGAGGAGGGGAAGGACAGAGAGGGGAGAACAGAGAGGGTCCAAAGAGGGCTCTCCGCTGACAGCAACGAGCCCCATGGGCTCGAACTCACAAACCATGAGATCCTGACGGGAGCCAAAGTCAGGTGCTTAACTGACTGAGTCACCTAGGCGCCTCAGTAATTTTTTTTTTTCTATAAAATTGACATTCTTCTATTCTTATAGTTTTGTTTGCTTTATCAAAATTGGGGAAAAACTAAGGTGGTAATAGATTCCTTAAAGTTGGGTTTTTTTTTTTTTTTGTTCTGTTTGTGACTACACTTTTAAACATACAAAAGCAAATTAATAAATTTATAACTGCTGAATAAATTACTCAATATAATAGACCATGTAAGGTATTTTTATGGACACTCTAAACCATATATTATAGCTTGATATTCTTGAGTAATTACCTATAACGATTATTTTTTTAAGCTCTGATTTTCCACTAATATTTCCACTTCTCTGTTACCATGAAAGAAATGTCTTCGTTTGCTTGTTTAATGTGGCGCTACAGTTCAGGAAATTTAGATGCTTTAGGGTTTATTTTCTTACTGTATGCCCAATCAAGCTGATGTTAGGTATGGACAGAGCCAAATTGTGTAAACTCAGGCAGGAAGAGACAAAAATGAGGGTTTTAAAAGACAAAAATAAAAAATAGGACGTTTAATTGAATAAACACTACTTTAAGGGCACCTGGGGGGCGCCTGGGTGGCGCAGTCGGTTAAGCGTCCGACTTCAGCCAGGTCATGATCTCGCAGTTCGTGAGTTCGAGCCCCGCGTCGGGCTCTGGGCTGATGGCTCAGAGCCTGGAGCCTGTTTCCGATTCTGTGTCTCCCTCTCTCTCTGCCCCTCCCCCGTTCATGCTCTGTCCCAAAAATAAATAAACATTGAAAAAAAAAAAAT